CTCTGTGCTTCTGATTCATCTTCTTGCTAATAGGCCTTGGAGACAGCAGGTGATGGCTCAAGTGCCTGGGCTCCTCCCACCCATATGGGAGACCCAGATGGAGCTCCTGGATCCTGGCTCTGGCCTGGCCTGGCACCAGCTGTTGCTGGCATTTGGGCAGTAAACCAGCAGATGGAAAACCTCTCTCTCTCTTTCTCTGTGTGTGTCCCTTTTTTTCTGTCACTCTGTATTTCAAATAAAATAAATAATAAACTTTTAAAAATACAGTATACCACTCAGTAACATTTAGTGCACTCATTGTATAATTATCACTACTCTCTAGTTCTACAGCATGTTCGTCACCCTGAGAAGAAGCCCCATACCCACTGAGCAGTCTTTCCCCGTTCTCCCCTCCCCTCTGCTGACCCCCAGCCTCTGGCAACTGCACATCTGTTTCCTGTCTCTGGTTTGCCTATTCAAGGCCTTTCCTAGAAGTGGAATCAGAGTATGTAGCCATTTGTGTGGTTTTTGCCTTCGAGGCTCTTCCACACTGCAACGTGTATCAGTGCCCGTCCCGTCCCGTGACCAAGTGCTGCCCTGTTGTGGGTACCGCAGGACCTGTCTCCCCAAAACTCATACAGGAATGTTGAAGCCTAACAGGTGATGGATCGAGGGTGGGAACTTGTTCTAAGGATGGCCTTTAGTTCCTTGGCGCTGTGCCCTTGGAGGTTGGTTATTTTGAGTTCAGGTTCAGCCTAGGTTCTCACCCTCCCGGCTCACCCTGCACACCTGCTGTGACAAGCATGCCAGAATCAAGTGCTGCCCAGTCCTGAACTGTAGCCTCCCAACCCTTTCTTTCCCAAGACGTTCCCCTTGGATATTTTAGTTAAGGAAATGGAAAGTAGACTAACACGTAGCCCATAGTGTGGACAGGCCGTCCTTGTGTACCTTCTGTCACTTGATGGATGTGCAGATCATTTCAACATTTTTTTGGGAGTCAGGGGTTCTAGCTTAAATTGAATTCTGGTTGTGATAGTTTCCTTGTCTGAATCCTGAGTTCTTTATAGTTGGATTCATAATATTAATGGCTAACTTTTGGGTATTCTTTGTTTGTATTTTTTTAATTTTAATTTAAGATTTATTATTTTATTTATTTAAAAAGCAGAGTTACAAAGAGAAAATATGGAGAGAGAGAGAGAGAGAGAGAGCACACTCTTCCATCCACTGGTTCACTCCCCAATGGATGCAACAGCCAGGGCTGGGCCAGGCCAAAGCCAGGATCCAGGAGTTTCCTGTAAGTCTCCCATGTGGATGCAGAGGCCCAAGCACTTGGGCCATCTTTTGCTGCTTTCCCAGACACATTAGCAAAGAGAGAGCTGGATTGGAAGTGGAGCAGCTGGACTTGAACCGGCACCCACACGGGATGCCGGTGCTGCAGGCAGTAGCTTAACCTGCCACAATGCCGGCTCCTCATTTCCACATTTTGACTGTTGGGAATAGCACCACCCACTACTTTTTCTGTCTCCAGTTCTGCCTCCTGCGTTACTCACAGCAGAAAACACACTTGTGAAACGAGAAAACAGGTGCATTGTCCTACCTCTGATTCCACCTGTGAGATTTTGCCAACCCTTGGTTTGTTCATTCCCTCAACGGGCATCAAGCCCCTTCCTTGCTTACTCAGCCCTGCAGAATGTTGCAAGAGGCACCAACCATAGAACGTGAGTTTCGGTCTTTCAGAAGCTGGAAAGTCAGAAGTCAAACCCTAGTTACTGTTGTTCCTCATTTTCCCTTTGATTTTCTCCCTTTCTGTTTTTTTTTTTTTCTCTGCTTCCTCTTTTCTCCGTTTGCTAATTGCTGCACTTGAATTCTCCTTTCCTCCTCCTTCAGCTGGCAGTGGGACATAGGAGAGAGTATTCTGTGCAGTGCCTGCCTGGAGGCGGCCAAGAACCTTGAGTGTTGCGTGAGTCGTCCTGGGGAAGGTGCAGGAAGTTTCAGAGGAGGCGGTTGGCAGCAGTCGACCATGGCAGGACCCAAGGACACAAATCATGGGCACTGATATTGTGTATCCCATGTGGCTTGGACTTGAGAGACTTGGTTCACAGACAGCTTTGAGGCCTTTTGCCATCCTGGAAGGAGTCAGATTGATGGATACTTAGGCAGGTATTAGAACCCAAGCAAGCCAAGCTGGGAGCCTGCGCTGTGGCACAGTGGGTAAAGCCACCACCCTCAGTGCCAGCATCCCACATGGGCGTCGGTTTGAGTCCCAGCTGCTCGACTTCTGATCCAGCTCTCTGCTATGGCCTGGGAAAGCAGTGGAAGATGGCCCAAGTCCTTGGGTCCCTGCACCTACGTGGGAGACCTGGAAGCAGCTCCTGGCTCCTGGCTTTGGATTGATGCAGCTCCGACCGTTGTGGCCATTTGGGGAGTGAACCAGGAGATGGAAGACCTTTCTCTCTCTCTCTCTGCCTCTGCCTTTGCCTCTCTGTAACTCTGGCTTTCAAAATAATAAATAAATCTTTGAAAAAAACCATAAAGAATCCAAACAAGCAGACCCACAGTGGGACAGCAGGAGAAGTTAACAGATGGAGGTGTCTGCTTCTCTCTCCCTGTTGTCTGTGAATGCTAAATATGTCTTCTGGGGTTCTGTGTCTGTGGTTTTCCCAGCCTGGATGGAAGACTCCTGAAAGCAGGGCAATCATCGTCTCTGATTTCTCCCCATCCGTCCCTGCTCACGGCACCCCTTGCAGCTTCCTGAACGTTCAGTTGTGCTGAGCATGCAACAGCAACTTCATTTGTTCAGTCCTCTGTCAGCAGTCACAGAGGGCTTTCTCGTGAGAGTTCTAGAACCTTCGCTACAGCCTAGGAAGATGGATTCTGTTTCTCAGATAAAGACTTAAGGCTCCCAGAGGGTAAGGCACTTGGCTGAGGACACACAGCCAGCCAGAGGGTTCAGCACGGCTTGGGACCAGTGCTCTCCACTGCTTCACCCTCTCCCACAGGGACTGGCTGGTTTTTGTAGCAGATGAAAACCATGTGTCTGTTCTTACTTGGGGAGATGGGAAATGAATCCTGATGCACTTGGACCTTGTTCCTTTTAGAGATTTTCTTTCCCTCCCTTTCTTTCTTCACATCTTAGAGTTTCCAGGTCAGAAGTAGTTTTGTAAAAGTTGCAGGTGGACTTGCCTATGACTCAAACCATGTAGATTCCTCTTTTCTGAGATGGTTCAGGGATTTCCTGCTAAGCCGTGTGTTCCTCATTTGCTACCACAGGATCTGATTCGAGAAGCTGCTGTCCATGATTCTTAGTGACGGGCACGGAGCCAGCTGTCAACGATGGTGCAGCTTGGAATTCGGTTCCGGGTTCACTGTTGGAGTTCTGCATCGGACCAAGTTGCCGAGAAGTCTGGCTCCGGCTGGGTCTGGTGGGAGGGGCTGATGTTTTGGAGTGAGTAAGCCCAGAGGAAGCTTGCCGAGAGGAAATTCGGTCAAGATGTTCGGTTTTAACACCTCTGGTTTCCTTCCAAACCAGAAGAGGAAAAGATCTGACTTCAGGAGTGAAGGAAGTTTTAGGGTGTCCCATGACTGGCTGACATGCATGGCTGGCTCCGTCATGCATTCTGCATGGCTCAGGTGAAGCTGCAGAGAGGGAGAAATGGTGCCTGGGATTTCTTTTTTTTTTTTTTCCCAAATTGCTGAGCTTAGCAAACAGTTGGTCACAAGTAGTGTTTGCTGGCTCACCCACATCAAGTGCCTGCTGGCTTGTGAGTTGTTTAGGGATCTCTGGTGGTGGTGTTGGGATGTGTGTGTGTGTGTGTGTATGTGAGAGAGCGAGCGAGCGAGCGAGCAAGCTTTTAAGCCCAGAGACTTCCCTTGAGGTGGCAAAGCAGGCAGGCATGAGAGGTCAAGTGAAAAGGGGGCTTGCTTTCTCAGTTGCAACCTTCTGGCTTGTTAACAAGGATAGGGTTCATTTATGGAATGCAAGGCATTGAACGTCTACTGCATGTGTGTGTGCAGTGCACAGCCTGTGCAGCGAGAGAAACCATAGTGAAGGAAGCCAAAGGACATCCTTGCCTTTGTAGAGTTTGCCTGTTAGTTGGAGATGGCAAAACAAGCTAAGTGACCTGCATGGTGATTTATAAAGCCTCTGACTTTAAATTAGGTAGACAGAGGTAGTCTCATATTAGGTGAGGACATCTGAGCAAGATATGAGGCAGAGAGGTGAGTGGACTGAGGGGTGGGAGGGGCCTGGCATGTGAGGACTGACCCTGGTTAGGACCTGTTTACTCCGAGTGTCAGGGGAGCCATTGAGCTGTGTCGTGACGTGACCCAGCTTCACGTTAGCAAGGATCACTCTGCCCTTTGTTGTAATGGATTTTGGGGGATGCCGGGTTGGGAGGCAGGGAGCTAAAAATAGAAGGGATGTGAGTAAGGTGGGTATTGCAGTAATACAAGAGAGAGATGACGTTGGCTTTGACCAGGATGGTAGATTTCAACATGGTAGACACATTAAACTTTGTATGTACTTTGAAGGTTAAACCAGTGAGATTTGGTGATGGAGCAATTGTGAAAGGTTTGGGAGATAACTTGAACTTGGTTCCAAGGTTATCGGCTCCAGCCACGGGGAGAAGAGATCTGCTAGTAAGTGAGAGGGTAAAGACTGGAAGGAAACCGGCGCCGCGGCTCACTGGCTAATCCTCCGCCTTGCGGCACCGGCACACCGGGTTCTAGTCCTGGTCGGGGCGCTGGATTCTGTCCCAGTTACCCCTCTTCCAGGCCAGCTCTCTGCTGTGGCCAGGGAGTGCAGTGGAGGATGGCTCAAGTGCTTGGGCCCTGCACCCCATGGGAGACCAGGATAAGTACCTGGTTCCTGCCATTGGATCAGCACGGTGCGCCTGCTGCAGCGCGCCGGCCGTGATGGCCATTGGAGGGTGAACCAACGGCAAAGGAAGACCTTTCTCTCTGTCTCTCTCACTGTCCACTCTGCCTGTGAATGAAAAAAAACCAAATCAAGGTAGCTGGAAGGAGCGGATTTTGGGAGAAGATCAAGAGTTTGTTAGTTTGTTTTGGACAGGTTAAGTTTGCAATTCCTACATACAAAAGAACTTCAAAAAGCTCATGGAAATGGGTATTATGGGAAAATTATGCATATGCTTCAATTTTTTTGTACCAAAATAAACTCATCTTTCAAACTTTTAGGATCTATTTGAGTTTTACCTTATTTATGTATTTAGTTTATTTGAAGGGATGTGGAGGGAGAGAGATTGATTGAGAGACTGATTCTTCCATCCTCTGGATCAGTCCCCAAATGCCCACGACAGCTAGGCATGGGCCAGGCTAGACTCACCTGCCTAGCAGGGACCCATGTACTTGAACCATCACCTGTTGCCTCCCATGGTATGCGTTTGCATGAAATTTTAATGGAGAGCAGAGCCAGGACTTGAACCCAGGCACTTCAATATGAGATGCAGCTGTACTAAGCAGTACCTAACTTCAGTGCCAAAAGTCCTCCCCAAATTTACCTTTTTTTTTTTTTTTTAAGATTTATTTTTTTATTTGAAAGGCAGAGTTACAGAGAGAGAGAGAGAGAGACAAAGAGAGCTCTTCCATCTGCTGGTCCACTCTTCAAATGTCTGCAAGCCTTGTGCTGGGTAAGGAGCTTCATCCGGGTCTCCCGCGCAGGGGCAGGTGTCCAAGCACTTGGGCCACTTTTCACTGCTTTTCCAGGTGCATCAACAGGGAGTTGGACCAGAAGTGGAGCAGCACCCATAGGGGATGGTTGGCGTTGCAGCCAGTGCCTTAATCCACTGTGCCACAACGTCAGCCCCTCTAAACTTACCTTGTAATCTTATTTCCCGTGAACTTTTTGAAATGCTCTTGTATGTTCAATTAATGATACTGAGTTGGCATTTGGAAAGATGACTCATTTTTGTTGTTGTTAAATTTGTATGTATTTGGGTGAGCGGTAGAGACACAAAAAGAGTGCCCATCCTGAGAGAGGTTCACTCCCCAAATGCCTGTAGTGAAGGGGTTGTGCCAGGGCCAAGGTCAGGAACCAGGAACTCAAACCAGACTTCCCATGCGGGTGGCAGGGTCCCAGTTACTTGAGCCAACACCTCTACCTCCCAGGATGTGCATTAGATGGAATCTGACATCAGGAGCAGGAGCCAGAATCAAGACTTGGTATCTAATATACAGTGAGGCATCTCAACTGCTTCCTGGGTTCACCCCTGGGAAGATGACTCAAGTCCAAGGGAGAGGGATTGGCTGGAGAGAGAAATTCAAGACCCCATGCTGGATGAGATCCCCTAGGGAAGGTGAGGGGGGGCGGATAGAGAGAAGTCCAAGGACTGATCCAGGGCTCTCCGCAGTGGGAAGACTGGGTGGGTATGGAGAGGTGAGACGCAGAAGGGGAGGAAAACCTGGAGACCAGGGCCGGCGCCGCGGCTCACTAGGCTAATCCTCCGCCTTGCGGCGCCGGCACACCGGGTTCTAGTCCCGGTCGGGGCGCCGGATTCTGTCCCGGTTGCCCCTCTTCCAGGCCAGCTCTCTGCTGTGGCCAGGGAGTGCAGTGGAGGATGGCCCAAGTGCTTGGGCCCTGCACCCCATGGGAGACCAGGATAAGTACCTGGCTCCTGCCATCGGATCAGCGTGGTGCGCTGGCCGCGGTGGCCATTGGAGGGTGAACCAACGGCAAAAGAAGAGCTTTCTGTCTCTCTCTCACTGTCTGCCTGTCAAAAACAAAAACAAAAACAAACAAAAAACCTGGAGACCAGGAGGTTCCTGCCTGAGCTTGGTGAGGATAATCAGAGTCATCACTGGGACGTGGCCTCTCAGGGAATGGAAGACACCAGGCACGCCCCAAACAATATCTGAGATAAGGCGGCAGCCACAGGACAAGGCGGCAGCCACAGGACGATGCGTGCTGTTCAGTACAAACAGAAACCCAGACTTCAGTGTGGCCAATGTCTGTGTTTTCCTTTGCTGGGAACCCCACCCAGGCCCCGGCCACACAGAGTCCTTGGAAAGGAGATGCCGCCACAGGACTTCACGCTGGGCTGAGTGCAGATGTGAATTTTTAGAAATCATTAATTTTTAACCACACACGTGATGCGTGAATTAGACCAGGCATCCTCGGTGGGCGGGGTATCACCCTAAAAGGGTGGACGTTGATTGGTTCTTGGGTGTAGGGAATGTCCTAGGTCTTACAGTGGCTTATCGCCTCAGTACATAAACACACATACACACAGCACGTAAATTAGGATTTCATGGCACCAGGAGAGTGATTAGGAAAGAAATATCTTGTAAGGCTCCTTGGAAGGGGTGCTAATGTAAAAAGGTTAAGGAACCCAGAATTATTCCTCAGCCTCCCTCCCCAGAGCCCTGGCGATTTTTGGGGTTGATTCTTCCTTTAAATAAATAACAGTAAGGTCCCAGTTCTTAGCTTCTTTTTGTCCCTCTTGGTCATGTACCTCAAAGAGATTTTCTTGTTAGCCCCTATCGATTGGTGCTTATTTCTAAGAGCTCTGTGGGATTCTGCCATATGCATACGACTTGGTTTCTGTTCCTTAGTGGATGGGTATTTAAGGTGTTTCCCCTCCATCCCTCCCTCCCTCCCTCCCTTCCTTCCTTCCTTCCTTTTCTTCCTCCTCCCCTCCCTCTCCTTCCCTTTCTCTTTCTTTCTTTCCCCCTCCCTTCCCTTTCTTTGCTATAAAATCACCAATGACCATTGCAGGGTTTTGTTTCTGCTCATGTGCCTCGGTTCAACAGCTCTTTCTGGAGGGTAGCAGAAGGTGCCCTGGGTCATCGGGCCAAGGCTGATTAGGCTGAAATTTTACAAGGTGGAGATGGGCCAACCAGGCATCTTGCTGGAGGTCTCCTAATCAGGCTTTGGAGCACATGGTCTCCTTAACCCTTCTGACACTGGCATGAGGTTGAGATTTTACTCACAGTCCGCTCTAGCTGTGAGATCACTGAGGTTTATGGGGCCGGTGCTGTGGCACAGCAGGTTAAAGCCCTGGCCTGAAGTGCCAGCATCCCATATGGGCGCTGGTTCTAGTCCCAGCTGCTCCTCTTCCGATCCACCTCTCTGCTATGCCCTGGGATAGCAGTAGAAGATAGCCCAAGTCCTTGGGTCCCTGCACCCACGTGGGAGACCTGGAAGAAGTTCCTGGCTCCTGGCTTTGGATTGGCGCAGCTCCAGCCATTGGCGGCCATCTGGGGAGTGAACCAGCAGATGGAAGACCTCTCTCTTTGTCTCTACCTCTCTCTGTAACTCTGCCTTTCAAATAAATAAAATAAATCTTAGAGAGAGAGAGAGAGAGCACTGAGGTTTAAAAAGGCACAATGACTTGGCCAAGGCCACTCAGCAGGGAGTGGTAGAGTGAAGGGCAAGAGTGGGGTCTCCTGACTAAGTGTAGTGAAACTGTCCTTCTCTGGGGTCCCTAGGATCTTTGATCCAGTGTGCCCCAGGGGAGCTGGGCCATGGCTTTGTCATCATGCTTGTCTTTTAAATTCAGCTATGGGGCCCTTAGTTTTCAAACATTAGAGTGCTCAGAATTGTTTTTATTCTCGTTGTCACTGACTAAGCAGGATAGGCCAACATTTTCTTTTAAAAAAATTAGTCCATAATATATAAAGTAGAGGTTACAAAATGCCATGTGTAATAAAATGCCAAGTGTGTGAAAAAATGTGCATGTGCGTGTGTGTGCATGTTTATAAGAGCAATTCTGGAAGAAGGCTCATCAAAATGCTGCTCGTGGCTATGGCTGGATGAAGGGATTATGGAGATGTCAAGTTCCTTTCTGGGGCTTTTCCTGGCTAGCTCCTCTGGCCAATATCTTTTGAACAATGTGTATGAATATTGTAATCTGAAAATTACAATGCATTATAAAAGTGAAGTCGGAATAAATATTTCGTTGGAAAGTAAAAGGAAAGAAATGGGAAAAAGAAAAGAAGATGTGAGGGTATTTCAAGAGTTTGTGGAAAATGAAACTAAAAGAAGGGTTTATTTTGGTGCCAGCAATTTTGAAATCCATGCATAAGATGTGTTCAAAAAGTTCGTGGAAAATGCATATTATGGGGGCTTCTTTGTTGCACATCTGGTAAAGTCGCCTTCTGCAGTGCCGGCATCCCATATGGGTGCTGTTTCATGTCCCAGCTGCTCCATTTCTGATCCAGCTTCCTGCTAAAGGCCTGGGAAGATCAGCGGAAGATGACCCAAGTGCTTGGGCCCCTAACACCCACGTGGGGGACCCAGATGAAGCTCCTGGCTCCAGCCTGGCCTAGTGCTGGCAATTGTGGCCATATGGGGAGTGAACCAGTAGATGAAAGATCTGTCTCTTCCTCTCTCTCTCTCTCTCTCTCTCTCTCTCTCTCTCTTTGTGACTCTTTCAAAATAAGTAAATCTTTTAAAAAGAAGATAAATATTATGAAAAAAATTAGGCATGAATTTCAGAGTTTTTGCACCAAAATAAACTTACCTGTTTTTTTTTAAGATTTTTTATTTATTTAAAATGCAGAGTTACGGCAGGGGGTGGGGGGAGAGATCTCCCATCCTCTTCACTCCCACAATGGCTGGAGCTGGGTCAGGCTTCAGCCAGGAGCCTGGATCTTTTTTCAGGTCTCCCATGTGGGCACAGGGACCCAATACAGCACAGCACCAGCCCTGTAAGCCTATCTTTTAACACCACTTTCCATGAAGTTTTTGATGTTCAGTCGTATTAACCTAACTTGGTAATTGTGCAAACTGATGCCCATTATAAAATTCGAGTTCTCCCTGGGAGAGAGATAAGGGAGTTTCCTTAAGACCTCACCCAATGGAAGGAAGCCGGTGATCCCAGGTTCCTGGGTGCCTTTTGCTCAGAGAGCCCTGAGGCTGACCAGGGGCAGTATTGCCTTCCTTGCCAGTAGTGTGGAGTCTTGGAAGACAGGCAGGGTCCTCTGAGTGCGGCGGGTCAAAGATTGTGTGACCCAGGCCCCTTCCGTAGTGTCCTGTTTCCAGATCCTGAGAGCCCTTGGCTGTCCTCCCAGATGGGGCTCCTGTCTAACCCCCATGGGGCATGGTGTGGGAGGGGCATGTGTGTTGTAAAATGCAAGCATCGGTCCATTGGTTACATTCCCTCTGGGAACACGGCTCTATTTTAGGATTGTCCAGAGGAAAAGGAAGGTTTGACCTTGCACAGGCGCTCTTGGCAACAAGCCAGTGATTGCTGACCAGCAGACGAGCTGGCCTGCCTAACAAGCGATCTGTAGAACTCGATGCATAAAAGGCATTGTGGAGCAGACACGAGGGGGTGGAGATCGATGGCGGTGCCAAGCTGGTGCCAAGGGAACTCTTCAGTGAGGTCGAGCAAATGCTCCCATGGGCCTGTGCCTTCGCCAGCTTTTCCATCTTAGAAGCAGCAAGGACAGTGTTAAATCTTTCCTAGGAGGTTTCCTTCGAGAGAAAGACTGATCAGAGACATATTGCTTTCTTTAAAAAATTATTTGAGAGACAGAAACAGACAGACATATGCACATGCCGAGAGAGAGAATATGTTCTCATCTGTTGGTTCACTCCGAGAGAGGGAGAGAGGGAGGAAGGGAGGAAGGGAGGGAGAGAGAGAGGGAGAGAGGGAGAGAGGGAGAGAGGGAGAGATGTTCCCATCTCTTTATCCACTCCCCAAATGGCTGCAGCTGCCAAGACTGGGCTGGGGCCAGAATCAGCAGCTGAGATCCTAATCCGGGTCTCCCAAGTGGGTGGCAGAAGCCCAGTTACTTGAGCTGTCATTGCCACCTCCCAGGGTTTGCATTAGCAGGAAGCTGCAATCAGGAGCCAGAGCTAGAGCCAGGATTCAAACACAGGCTCTCTGATGTGGGATGCAGGTACCCCAACGGGCATCTTCACTCCTAGGCCAAATGCCCCCTGGGAGAGGGACCCTAGTTCTAATCCTGGCTGCACGCTGGGAGGCGTAACTGGGAGTGGATGTGCAGACCAAACCCAGGCTAATGAAGTCAGAACAGGTGATGCTTCCAGGTGTTTGCAGGTAGACATTGAGACAACTTGTGCTGGGACATCGTAGACGATTGGAGCACTGCTAGTGACATCTGTCATGTCTCAGGCACACACTGCACCAGGTGACGTGCTCACTATCTGAATTAATCCATACCCAGGAGGTCAGGGTTTTGTATTTGCTCCTTTGGCAGGTGAGGAGTGGACTTACCGACCTAAGATCAGCCAGAAACTGGTATCCTGTGTTTGTGCCTCAGCAGGAACCCTCAGAGTCACACAGCTGTGTGGGGCAAGTAAGGGGCTTGCTGGAGGGATGGGGAGGCCAAGGGTGGATCAGAGCCCAGGGCTTGTCAGCACTCAAGCCTATTGGTAAACTGAGGCAGAAGGATTGGGGTAAGGTGCAGGGGTGATTTAAAAAAAATTAGTCCTTGGGGAAGAGTGGAAACCACTGACTTAAGGGAGTAGTACAGCTGTCCCCAGCTGGCCTTACAAGGTTCTTATCACCAGACTCAAGGAGTCATTTGCTTCTCCAATAGATAAGAATCTTGATGGCCAGTATTGTCCTGGAGTGATTTATGTAAGGGAATTCCAGGCCTGGGCAGAATGTAACCGTCACCTTCATGTAACCCCCAGACCAACTGGAGCCCACCTGGCCATCATAAATTCCCTAAAGGTCACAGCATCACTGACTAATCGAGGAGGGAAGATCACCATGAGCTCCACTGACCAGCCGGGAACCTGGACATGAGCTGATCACACATCTCTCAGCCCCAGTTTCAGTCTAGAAGAGCCTTCGGCCCTGACTGCTCAGGGAGCCCAGGAATGAAGCAATAAGTCCCGGATCCTTGCTTTGCAATAAATACTTTCTTCCACCAAAAAAAGAGAGAGAGAGAGAGACCTGGAGCAGGTGCAAGTGAAAGATGTAGTGGATAAGTGTGTTTATTTCTTCCAGTGTGATTCTAATCTGTGAATTCCTCTCTAGCATGTTCGCATACTGAGATCTTTCATTTCTTTAAATCTCATTTTAGTTGATGTTTTCCTTTGCAGATGTACTTTTTTGTCTTTTATTATTTATTTTTAAAATATGATCAAATACCCATAACATAAAATTTGCCAATTACCCATTTTATTAATTTTTTGAAAGCTTATTTATTTATTATTATCTACTTGAAAGGTAGAGAGAGAGAGATTGAGAGTTGATAGAGAGATCTTGCATCCACTGATTTCACTCCTCAAATGCCTGCACAGGCCAGGTCTGTGCTAGCTCAAAGCCAGATGCCAAGAACTCCATCCAGCTCTCCTAACACGAGTGACAGAGGCCCAAGTACTTGGGCCATCATTGGCTGCTTCCCAGGTACTTCAGCAGGGAGCTGGACTGGGAGTGGACAAGCCAGCATGAGGACTGGCACTCCATTATGGGATGTGGGCATCATAAGTGGCAATGGAACCCACTGTGCCACAATGCCCACTGGCACCATACCCATTTTTAAGGGTTCAGGTCAGTGGTGTTCAGCGTTCATATTCACGCTGTTGTTTAGACATTGCCATCATCCGTCACTACCATTCTTCCAGCTTGGAAAACAGAAACTCTACCTACCAAACAACAAGCCCCCATCCCCTGCTTCCGTCCAGCCCCTGGCAACCTCCTAGGGTCTCCATTAGCAGGAAGCTGGAATCCAGAGCTGGAGCCAGGACCCAAACCCAGGTACTCCAACATGGATGCAGGCCTCCAACAGGCTACATGTTTTTTTGTTTGTTTGTTTGTTTGTTTGTTTTTGACAGGCAGAGTGGACAGTGAGAGAGAGAGAGACAGAGAGAAAGGTCTTCCTTTGCCGTTGGTTCACCCTCCAATGGCTGCCGCGGCCAGCATGCTGCAGCCAGCACACCACGCTGATCCGATGGCAGGAGCCAGGTGCTTCTCCTGGTCTCCCATGGGATGCAGGGCCCAAGCACTTGGGCCATCCTCCACTGTACTCCCTGGCCACAGCAGAGAGCTGGCCTGGAAGAGGAGCAACTGGACAGGATCCGGCGCCCCGACCAGGACTAGAACCCGGTGTGCCGGCGCCGCAAGGCGGAGGATTAGCCTAGTGAGCCACGGTGCCTGCCAGGCTACGTGCTTTCTTGCTCTCCTTTCTGTCCCTGTGAACTGGATTAGTGTAGGTACCTCATGTAAATAGAAACACATAATAGGGGCTGGCGCTGTGCCACCTGCAGTGCCAGCATCCCATATGGGCGCCTGTTCTAATCCTGGCTGCTCCTCTTGCAATCCAGCTCTCTGCTATGGCCTGGGAAAGCAGTAGAAAATGGCCCAAGTCCTTGGGCCCCTGCACCCACGTGGGAGACCTGGGGGAAGCTCCTGGTTTCGTATCGGCCCAGCTCCAGCCGTTGTGGCCTTTGGGGAGTGGACTAGTGGGTAGAAGACCTTTCTCTCTGTCTCTCCCTCTCACTGTAGTTCTACCTGTGAAATAAATGAAATAAAATATTAAAAAAAATCACATAATATTTGCCCTCTTGTGATAGGCTTATTTTGCTCACATTCTGAAACATTTTTCATAAGCTACTATTGTAAAGCAAGATATGGATTCATAGATATGGTTTTGTCTTTTCTCACTGTGTATATGTTTGGAAAAGCAACATGATAAATGGTCCATGACATGAAAAGATTGAGCTTGTAAAAAAAAGATTTATTTATTTGAAAGAGAGAGAGAGAGAGAGAGAAAGAGAGGAGAGAGAGAGAAAGAGAGGAGAGAGAGGTCTTTCATCTGCTGGTTCATACCCCAAATGGCCACAGTAGCTGGGCCTGGATCAGGATGAAGGTAGTAGCCAGGAGATTCATCTGGGTCTCCCACATGGGTGGCAGGAGCCCAGCTACTTGTACCACCTTCTGCTGCTTTCCTAGGCCATTAGCAGGGAGCATTGTGGCCATTTGGGGAGTGAGCCACAAATGAAAGATCTCTCTCTCTTTCTCTCTCTGCCTTTCAAATAAATCTTTAAAATAAAAAGAATGAGTTGGGGGGGGGGAGGGCCCTAGAAAACTCAAAGGATCAATTATGTTCTTTGAATAAATTCAGGCAGTGATGGCCAGGAGCAGTTGGCACTGAGCAAGTATCTGCAGGTCCCTACTGGAGAGAGGGGCTAGGAGTTCCTTTCCTTTCTGAACTGTCTGCCCAGCCCTCTCAACGTGGGCTGTGTACTCCTGAGCCAGGCTTCCTCAGCCCGGCTGCCAGAGTGAGAGGATCCTAAGCCAAGTACATCTCCAAAGTAACCCAGCCCGTGTCTGGGGTGTGTTTGCACCCTCAGGGAGAGGCCCTAAGGAAGGGTCCAGTGAGGATGCTGGGAAGGGGTCTTTATAAGTCAGGTTGGCAAATCGGCCTGTTTCATCTATTACTGGATGTTTCTGGTTAGGATTGGAGGGCATATTTGATTTAAATGTGAATCTTAGTGACCGAATGGAACAACTGAGATGTGTTGGGATGGACCGTGGAGCGGTCAGCTGGAAGGTGTGGGAACATGAGCCTGCAGGAAGCTCAAGTTCAAAGCCTGCGACCTTCCCTTCCCGTTGACAGGGTAGAATTCTGTTCTGATGACTGAGTTGAGGACAGGATGACTGCTCACTGTAGGAGGCCTTTGTGGTTGGCTGTTGCTCATTCTTGTTCTGACAGTGGCTCCTGAGTTTCCTCTGGGAACTCAAGGTGCAGAGGATTTGCAGAAAGTGAGTGTTTGGGTGGAGTTGATTTTCAGTGGATTGGACCCAGGCTTGACCAAATCACCCTGGCCACAGTGGACCAGGGATGGGCAAGTGACCCAGGCTGGTTCTGATTCCTCCCTCTCTGGGGAGAGGAGTTTATGCAATTGAGGAAGGAGGAGCTTCCCCTCACCATACCACCTCTCCCTTTGTTTCCCTGGGGTCCTTCAAGCTGAGAGTAACTGTGGCCATCATGCATTTGGGAATGAGGCTATCAATAAAAAGAAGACAGAGCTAAGACAATGTTTTTTGGATCCGTTGGTACCTGAAGGCTGTGCACTCCTGAACTTCCAAGTTAGATGAGCTGATTGATACCATCACATCTTCATTTTGTGTGCCTGTGTGGAGGCACAGTGCTGTCTGTCTCTAAAACTGTTTTTAGATTTCTGTGGCTTGCAGCCTACTGTGTGCTGTTGAAGGCTTGTGATCCAGGGAGGTGCCACATGGTAAACATGTGATGTGATCTGCCAGGTGGCAAGGATGAGCCCGGGTGGACCTGGTGAGATGGCAGGTGCTTGCTCTGTCACAGAGAGATTGCCAGACGGGGAGGTGCGGTTCACAGGCCCAGGGGTGGCTTTGCCTTTCAGTGAGTTGGGCACATCTGTATATCTTTCTAACCCTTAGCTCCCAACAGCTCTATAGTGGTTGACTTCAGTGAGATCTTTGAAGATATATGTGATCTTCCCAGCTCTACAGGATCCTGTTTTAACAGGTGTTTCACTTAATATCCATATATTTTTTGAAATTTATTAAAATAGGGCCGGTGCTGTGGAATGGTGGGTGAAGCCACTGTGTGTAGTGCTGGCATCCTGTATGAGCACTGGTTCTGGTCCTGCTGCTCCACTTCCGATTCAGCTCTCTGCTATGGCCTAGGAAAGCAGTGGAGGATGGTCCAAGTGGATTGGACCCACGTAGGAGACCTGGAGGAGGTTCCTGGTTCCTGGCTTCAGATCAGCGCAGCTCTGGCTATTGCGGCCATCTGGGGAGTGAACCAGCGGATGGAAGACCTCTCTCTCTCTCTCTCTCTGCCTCTGTGTAACTCTGTTTCAAATAAATAAAATAAATCTTTAAAAAACTTATTAAAATATTTAACAAACATATAAAAATAATACATGTTTATGGGGTACTATGTGATGTTTCATTACATGTATACATTGTGTGATGTGCAGTTTTCACTAAGAAAAAATGTTATCATCTAGGCTTTTTTTAATAGAGAAATAAAGAAGCAATAGGTAACATTATTTATCTTCACCCTACTGTGTAATGCAACCCGAGAACTTCTTGCTTGTATCTGGCTGTAACCTAATTCCTGTCAATCAACCTTTCCCGGTCCCTCTCTCTCCACTTCTTTGCCAGGCCCTGGTAACCAGTTATATCTTGAACTTCTTTGATAGCACTTGTTTTTCTTTAGTTTCCACATATGAGTGCAATCATGTGATACTTCTCTTTATGTGCTTGGATTATTTTATTTAACAAAACCATCTCCGGTTCCATCCGTATTGTTATGAATGGCCAGAATCCACCCTTTTTCATGGCTGAGCGATGTTCTCCTGTGTACATGTCCCCCATGTTCTTCATCCGTTCATCAGTGGATGGAGCCGGGTTGTTTTCTTTTGCTGACTGTTGTGAATTCTGCACAGTGAACTGGGAGGCAGATGTCTCTCTGAGAGGTGAATTTCATGTCCCTTGGTATATCCCCAGGAGTGGGATCACTCCTTCCTGTGGAAGCGCTATTTTCGGGTTTTTTGAGGAACCTCCACAGTTTCAGTGGAACCTCCATTCGGACACAGTGACTACCGATTCACATTGCCGCTCAGAGTTTGCTGGGTTCTCTTTTCTCTACTTCTGCACCAACACTTGTTCTCTGTTGGCTTTTTGGTAATAGCCAGTCTTGCTGGAGTGAGGTGACATCTCATTGTGGTTTTGATTTGCACTTCCCTGGTGGTTAAGGAGGCCGAGCATTCTTTTCATGCACCAATTGGCCATTTGTATGTCTTCCTTTGAGAAATGCCTGTATAGATCTATGACCTATTTTAAAATTGGATTTGAATTAAGTTTTATTTTTACTGAGCTGAATTCTTTATGGATTCTGGATAGTAATTCCTTGTAAATTATTAGCTTGAGAATATTTTCTGACATTTTGTAGGTTGTTTCATTGCTTTGTTGATTGTTTACTGGGTGAAAGCTTTTTAGTTTGATGAAATCCCATTTGTCTTTTTTTATTTCTTGTGCTTTTGGGGTTTGGTCAAGAAAATTCTTGTCCATTCCAATGTCCTTGTTTTCTTCTAATGGCTTCAAAGATTTACATCCACATTGAGGTCTTTAATCCATGTCAAGCTGATTTTTGTGCCTGGTGAGAGATAGGGGTCAAGGTTCGTTCTTTGCATGTGGATATCCAATTTTCCCAATACTATTTATTGAAAAGACTGTCCATTTTCTAATGCATGTTCTTGGCACCTTTGTCATGATCCCTTAATCATAGGCATGTGGATTTATGTCTAGGGTCTCTATTCTGTCCATTGATCAATGGATCTGTTTTTATGGCAATAGCAAGCTGTTTTAATTACTGTAGCTTTGTAATGCATTTTTTTTAAAGATTTATTTATTTGAAAGTCAGAGTTACACATAGAGAGGAGAGGCAGAGAGAAAGAGAGAGAGAGATCTTCCATCCGATGGTTCGCTCTCCAATTGACCACAATGGCCGGAGCTGCGCTAATCAGGAGCCAGGAGCCAGGAGCCAGGAGCTTCCTCCGGGTCTCCCACGCGGGTGCAGTGGCCCAGCAACTTGGACCATCTTCCACTGCTTTCGCAGGCCACAGCAGAGAGCCAGATTGGAAGTGGAGCAGCCGGGTCTCGAACTGGCACCCATATGGGATGCCGGCACTTCAGGGCAGGGCGTTAACCTGCTGCGCCACAGCGCCGGCCCCAGTAATGTATTTTTAAACTCAGATAGTATAATGCCTTCTGCTTTTTTCTTTTTGCTCAAGATCATTTTAGATATTCAAGATCTTTTATGGTTCCATACAAGTCTTTTTTTTTTTTTTTTTTTTTGAAGTAGCATTTATTTTGAAAGAATTACACAGAGAGAGGGAGAGACGAAGAGAGAGATCTTCCATCTGCTTTTACTCACCAAATGACTGCAAAGGCCAGCGCTTTGTCAGGCCAAAGCCAGGAGCCGGGAGCTTCATCCGGGTCTCCTACCTTTGGGTAAGAAACAGCAAGCTCCTGAGTCTTTGGGTGGCAGGGGCCCAAACACTTGGACCATCTTCTGCTGCTTTTAACAGGGAGCTGGATCAGAAGTGGAGCAGCCAGGATCAAACCCACTCCCATATGTGATGCCAATGTCGTTACCGGCAACAGCTTTCCCTGCTACACCACAATGCTGGTCCCATCCATACAGGTTTTTGTATTGCTTTGTTTCAACATCTATGAAAAATGTCATTGGGATTTTGATAGTGATCGCATTGCATCTGTAAGTTGCTTTGGGTAGTGTGCAACGTTTTAATGATGTTGATTCTTCCAATCCATGACCATGGGATGTCTTCCCATTTTTTTATGTCCTCTTCAATTTTTTCATCAGTGATTTATAGTTTTCATTGTAAAGATTCTTCACCTCTTTGGTTAAATGTATTCCCAGGCATTTTAGTATTTTTGTAGCTGTTGGGAATGGGATTACTTTCTTGATTTCTCTTTTCAGATGATTGGTATGGAACAATGTTAGTTGTACAAGAGCTTCTTATCCTGTAACTTTGATGATTCTGTGTATTCTAACAGTTCTTTGTTGGAGTCTTTGGGGTTGTCTCTATATAAGATCATGTCATCTGCAGACAGTGGTAGCTTGGCTTCCCCCTTTCCAATTTGGTTGCCCCTTACTTCTTTTTCTTGCCTTAATGTCCATATTTTAAACAGGCAATTGGAGTAGGTATAAAAATCAAAGAGAGGACAATAAAAATATGCATATCGCCTCAAACTCCTACAAACTGCCTGAAGATCTCTCCTTTACTTTTTTTTTTTTTTTTTTTGGACAGGCAGAGTGGACAGTGTGAGAGAGAGACAGAGAGAAAGGTCTTCCTTTGCCATTGGTTCACCCTCCAATGGCCACCACGGCTGGCGTGCTGCGGGCAGCGCACCGCGCTGATCCGAACCCAGAAGCCAGGTGCTTCTCCTGGTCTCCCATGGGGTGCAGGGCCGAAGCACTTGGGCCATCCTCCACTGCACTCCCTGGCCACAGCAGAGAGCTGACCTGGAAGAGGGGCAATTGGGACAGAATCCGGCGTCCCGACTGGGACTAGAACCCAGTGTGCCGGCGCCACTAGGTGGAGGATTAGCCTATTGAGCCGCGGCGCCAGCCCCTCCTTTACTTTTAAAAATAATTTTCTACATAATTTTTAAATCAGAGTACAACCTACATGCAGGAAAATGTTCACATTACAAATGTGTAGTTTGTTGCTTTTTCACATGCTGTAGCCTCATGTCATGGCCATCACACCAAGACGTAGACCAGGGCTTCAGAAATCTCTCCGGATCTGTATCTCCTCCAAAGGAGACCGTGGTTTTAGTTTCTGTGGGTGTACCATGTATTAATTTTACTTGCTTTTGAATTTTACATAGAGAGAACATAGAGGAAGCACTTTGGGGGGGAGGTGATGGTGATCGGAGGTGGGGGGGATCTGGCTTCAATGTCGTATTTGTGAGAGTCACCTGTTTTGTGAATGACGGAGCTTACTCTCATTGTTGTATAGCCTGTCACCATAAAGTGATTATACCACCAACTGTTTATCCTACGTTGTTTTGCACTATTATGGATGATACTGCTCAGAAAGTTCTCATATGTGTTTTTGGTGGACCAACACTCTTTGAGTTGGGTATAGGATTGATCTTCAAAAAGGCCGAGGAAAATGTACAAGCAGATGGAAAATCTCTGTCTCCTACCCCCTCTGTCTCTCTGTCTTTCTATTAAATAAATAAATGCTTTAAAAAGATTCATGGGAAATGTGTATTATGATGGTTTAAAAATTTTCTTGCAACGAAATAAACTTTAATTCCATTTTTCCAAGAACATTTTGAAGTCTGCGCATGTGCACATGTGGAGCAAGATTGCTGTGTCACAGAGAGTGTAGAGCGTATGTTTGGGCTTCATAGATGCTGCCAGATAGTTCTCCACTGCCAGCAGCACTGAGTTCCTGTAGTTCCTTATCTGCATATGCTGTTGTCTGTCCTTACTTTCAGCCACTTGAAAGGCAGAACGAGAGAGACACTGGTCATCCACTGATTCCTGATTTACTTCCCCAATGGCCATAACATCCAGGGCTGTGCCAGGCCAAAATCAGGAACCAGGAACTCCATTCTGGTCTCCCATGTAAGTGACTAGGACCCAAGGACTTGGACCACCATCCACTGCCTCCCAGGGTCTGCATTAGTGGGAAGTTGGAGACGGGGAGAGGAGCTGGGACTTGAACCCAGGACTTCTGAGATGGGGGTGCAGGTATTTCAGCTGCTAGGCTACATGCGCACCCCCATCTGCTGAGTTCTGACAAAGGTGAACACTCACAAAGCTCAAACCCTATCAAGAAGCAGCCACTCCTCTGAGTTACATTTTCCATTCTCAAGTCACACTGACGTGTGCTTTGCATCTTCCTGATGGCCAGTGATACTGTGCACCTTGCAACAGGCTCGCTGATCTTTTGGGTTTCCGCTTTGTGTTCTGTGCAGTGTGGCTTTTTTTTTTTTTTTTTTTTAACAGGCAGAGTTAGACAGTGAGAGAGAGACAGAGAGAAAGGTCTTCCTTCCTTTGGTTCACCCCTGAAATGGCTGCTATGGCCGGCGCACCGCGCTGATCCGATGGCAGGAGCCAGGTGCTTCTCCTGGTCTCCCATGGGGTGCAGGGCCCAAGCACTTGGGCCATCCTCCACTGCACTTCCTGGCCACAGCAGAGAGCTGGACTGGAAGAGGGGCAACCGGGACAGAATCCGGTGCCCCAACCGGGACTAGAACCCGGGGTGCCGGCACCGCAGGTCGAGGATTAGCCAAGTGAGCCACGGCACCGGCCCAGTGTGGCTTTTACCATTTCTGGTGTAGGGGGAGGGGCAAGTGGACGAGTCTAGCGGACAGGTGAGTGGACCAGGGACCTACAACAGACCTCGTTCCAAGACGTCTGCCGTAAAGCAGCGTGCGTTCTCACACCTGCGAGACCTCCCCTGTCAGCAGCGAGGAAATGCTGAATTGTTAAAACTCATCCCCAAATTGAGGAGAGCAGGAAACTTTCTAAGTCTGCTGCTTGAAGCCTAGTCTTCTAATCATTTCCACTTACGTAACTTTTCTTTTGACGAGTGTCGGCCTAGTGGGAGAACTCCAGATCATTAGCAGGTTTATAAGGAGATTGATGAAGAGATGTGACCAAGAGCTGCCAGGGGGAAGTGTGACTGAGCTCCCCATGCAGGTGCCAGACTCACCCCTCATCTAGGAAGGCGAGGGTGTCGATGCAAGCAGGGCTGTTCTTGGAGGCAGCGACAGAAGCAGATCTTTAAAAAAATTATTCGCCTTGTCAACTCGCAGGGTGACAGGTCTTGCCTTGCAGGGCGTCAGGCCCTGCCCCCAGTTTGCTGTGGGTCTTGCAGCGGCAGATGTTGCCTCCATCTCTGGGGGGTCCTGTCCGTCTGGAATGGGGTGGGGAGAAGCAAGGTCCCCCATGTCCTCAACTAGTCTTCTGTTTCTCCTATCAGATGTCATTCTGTGAAGGCGACACTGACCAGGGTGTGGTTAAGAGGAGTGATCACCAATTTGTCCTGACGCCCAGGGTTCCAGTAGCCCCTGCCTTCACCAAGAGCCTGTCTGGAGTGACTGTCATGCATCCATTACATCATCGAGGGGTCTCATCAGGGATCCTGGGGGGATCGGATCCATAATTGTGAAGGTAGCAATGGCCTAGGGAAAGGGGTATTCACTGACATTTGGGAGAGGTAAGGGCCAGTGAAGCCCACCCAGGAGAGGCAGGAGGAGGAGGGTCCGTAATGGGTTGGGGGACTGCGCAAAAGAAATCCTGGTTACTGCCAGCCTCCAGCCTTACTGTCCTCCCCAACTCCATCACCCACCTATGCCTCCTGTTGACCAAACCCACCTAGGAGCAACCAGGAGCAGGGGCCTCCTGAGATCCAGTGCATCCGGGTTCAGAGTGAGTAGAAGGGGAGAGAGTAGGTGTTGATGGGCAAGTAGGGAGTGACCAGCCCAGAGGTGTTTCTAGACCTCTCTCCCTTGTTAACATGCAGAAACATTTGCTCTAAGATAGACTCTAAAAGCTTTCTTGGCCTGGGAACTGATCTGAAATCAAATGCAGACGTGGGGCCGTGAGTCTTGAACAGAGTAGATCCTTCCTCTCCTTGGCTTTAAGTCAATGAAACAGAGGCCGAGGGGGTGCTCGTGGGCTGTGGCTGCAGGGGTTAGGAGATGTAGGGGTGTGCTGGAGGGGCTGTGGGTTTAGCAAGTGGGGGAAGCCCACAGGAGCTCCTGAGGATGGAGGTGCTGCAGAAGGTGCTCACTAGGAGGGTATTACCAGGGACCAGAGAGAGAGGGATTGTGGCAGAGCTAGGGATGTGCCAAGCACGAAGGAACAGTCACTCAAGAGCTGGGGAAGAAGCCAGGTCAGAGTGGAGAACCCAGACTCCAGGCTGGGTAGTTGAAAAGAAAGGAAGTGGAATGGCCGAGAGCAGAAGGTAGAATGGGGTGGGCATCAGCCAGGAGCTTGGGGGAGAAGAGGTTGTATGTTTCCTGGGAGTGGCCTGGCCTTTGTCTGTGCCTCAGTGGGTTAGGGGTTCTGAGCGTAGACTCTGGGACTAGAGTGCTGGATTCGATTCCAACTCTGCCACCATCTAGCTGTAAGTCTGTGGGTAGATGACTTAACCTCTTGTGTCTCAGATTTCTCTTCTGAAAGTGGGACCATTATAATGCGTATCTCTCTCGGGGTTATTTTGAAGGTCAAAGGAGTAAGTGCACACAAAACTTAGAAGTACCACTTTATGGTTTAATTTCCAGATTCTCCAGCACCATCCCAAAGGCTGCCTCTGAATTTTAAGGACTAACTGGGCTGGTTTTGGGGTGGGTGGGGGTGGGGAGGAGAGAAAAGTGGTACCACCAGGGAAGAGGGCATGGGTGGGACGCCTATCCTTGAGATAACAATGGGACACGGGCCAAGGAGCTTGGCTGGAGCTGGTGTCTCTAGGGAGGCTGGCTGCTTGTGACAGAGGCAGTTATTTGAAGCGCTCCAATCATTTACACATTAGTGTGATTATTAGGGACAGTTGGGTTCTGAATAGGGCAAAGTCAGGGAGAGCATGAAGACCTGGGTATCAGGGGGAGGGGTTCCTGCCACTCACAGCTGGAAGTCCTGGCTCTCTTTTCACTTCTCTCCTGGAAGGTGGCAATGATCCTCTCTTGAGTGTTTTGCAAGTAAAATGTCACAAGCAGAACACTGTATTTGAAATGTGCATGCAACATCTTCCTACAGTCACACACCATGCTGCCATTAAATGATGCAGAAGAATATTTAATAAGGCAAAAGTCACACCAAGCAACAATGAACGTGTGTCAGTTTTGCATTTAGAAAATGATGCTTGGAAGAAATTTCACATCCAGGAGTGCCTATAAATCAGCACTGGGAACTGCAGAAGCAGCCTGCAACCAGGGACTTCTGTATCTTATTTATCAAACACTGACAGAGTACCTGCTGTGTGCCAGCCATTGTTTTAGCCCTTTTAATTCTAACAGCCACTTCCTGGGATAGTCTGTACCATTGTACCCACTTTACAGGTGAGGAAGCTGAGGCATAGAGGTAGCTTGCTTGCTGTCACACCATGATGGCATCTGGATTCAAATCCTTCAGCCTCATGCCTGAGTCCTACTACACTGCACTGTGCTGCAGCTGCCCACCGGTGTTTATTGACCATTGCTAGCCCCAAGGAGGAAGGTTGTCTTATATATTTTTATTAAAAAAAATTTTTTTTGACAGGCAGAGTTAGACAGTGAGAGAGAGAGAGACAGAGAGAAAGGTCTTCCTTCCTTTGGTTCACCCCCCAAATGGCTGCCACCGCCAGCGCTGCACCTATCCGAAGCCAGGAGCCAGGTGCTTCCTCCTGGTCTCCCATGTGGGTGCAGGGCCCAAGGCACTTGGGCCATCCTCCACTGCCCTCCTGGGCCACAGCAGAGAGCTGGACTGGAAGAGGAGCAACTGGGACAGAATCTGTTGCCCCAGCTGGGACTAGAACCTGGAGTGCCGGCGTCACAGGTGGAGGATTAGCCATGGCGGCGGCCAAAGGTTGTCTTATATTAAAAAGACTCACTGCTTACTTTTACCAGTGCTTTTTTTTTCCTTGGGTATTTAACCAGTTAAGGGAGATAAAGAAATGGAAGAAAGGCAAAAAGACAAGACAGAAAAGAGGCAAAGGAGATAAGGGCGGGGAGTGGGAGAAAGGAAAAGAAAAAGCTGAAGAGCCGGCGCCGCGGCTCAGTAGGCTAATCCTCTGCCTTGCGGCACCGGCACACCGGGTTCTAGTCCCGGTCGGGGCACCGGATTCTGTCCCGGTTGCCCCTCTTCCAGTCCAGCTCTCTGCTGTGGCCCGGGAGTGCAGTGGAGGATGGCCCAAGTGCTTGGGCCCTGCACCCCATGGGAGACCAGGAGAAGCACCTGGCTCCTGCCATCGGATCAGCGCGGTGTGCCGGCCACAGCGCACTGGCCACGGTGGCCATTGAGGGGTGAACCAACGGCAAAGGAAGACCTTTCTCTCTGTCTCTCTCTCTCTCACTGTCTACTCTGCCTGTCAAAAAAAAAAAAAAAAAAAAAAAAAAAAAAAAAAAAGCTGAAGGGTTCGAGAGAGTGCATAGGGTGAAATCAGCTGAGTGTGTACTCACCTGAGTTTCTCTTGGGAGTTATTAAGTCATCATCATTAGGGCTGTCATTTAGCTATCTGGCTAGTTATTTATTTACATTTATTTGAGAGGGAGAGAGTGCACGCTCCCATCTACTGGTTCATCAAATGCCTGTAATGATAAGGACTTGGGCAGGCCAAAGCTGGAAAGTGGGAACCCAAACCAGATGGGAACATGGAAATATGGGTGGCAGGGACCCAAGCACTTGAGCCATCACCACTGCCTAACAGGGTGTACATTGGCAGGAAGCTGGAGTTGGGACCTGGAGCTGGGACTCAAATTCAGATATTCCGATATAGGATGTGGGCATCTTAACCTGCACTTAACTGCTAGGCCAAATGCACTTCCCTTTTAAAATTCCTGGTGAGTTGTTTAACCACTCTCCCTAACTCCTTTTCTTCCCCTGATTTTTAAAAATTGGTATATAATTCCCACAACAAGGTTCATTCATTTATTTAAGTTTTTATTTATTTATTTATTTGAAAGGCAGGGTGATAGAGAGGAGAGACAGAGGTCTTCCATTTGCTGGTTCACTCCCCGAATGTCCACAACAGCTAGAGCTGGTCCAGGATGAAGCCCGAGGCTAGAACTCCATTCAGGTCTCCCATATGGGTGGCAGGGACTCAAGCACTTGGGCCACCTTCTGCTGCTCTCCCAGGCACACTAATAAGGAGTTGGATCAGATGTAGAGCAGCCAGGACTCTAACAGTACTCAGTCTAGAGACAGCGTTTCAGTTGGTAGCTTAACTCATTGAGCCACAACGCTGGCCCAGAGTCCATTCTTGTAAAGTGCACATTTCAGTTGTTTATGGTATATCCGTGTCTGCAACATGTACTCACTAACTTCAAAACATTTCTATCACTCCCAAAAGAGACCTACCTATTCCGTTAGCCGTCATTCCCCGATCTCCCTTCTCCTTGCCCCTGGCACCCACGCATCCGTTTCTGTCTCTGGACTTGCCTATCCTAAGCATTTCTTATCCATGGAATGCTACAACATGTGGCCTTGTGTGTTTGGCTCCTTGCACTTCACGTTTTCAACGTTCACATCTCAGTGCCTGTTCCCTCTTTATGGCTGAAGACCATTTCATTTCATGGATACAACTCATTTATGATTTGCCTTCTCACCAGGAGATGGCCATTCGGGTACAATTTAGGAACACCCGTGTGCACGTGTCCGTGTGGATGTGAATTTTTAAGTTCTCCTGGGTGTGGACCCAGGAGAGGAGTTGTCAGCTCCTGTGACGACTGTGTGTTCAGTTTTTGAGGCACTGCCAGATGCTTCCTACCTCTTCCCCTCCTCTTCCTCACGTGTCGCTTGTAGATGGTTGCAGAAATGTCACTTGGCATTCATGTTCTGTAGCTGCGGGGTCCTAAAACTCTTGAGATGGGAAACAGTAGGTTCTCACGAATGGATCCTTTTCTGTTTAAGCTCCTGTACCTCCAAACACCTTCTGGATTGGGGAGGTGGCTTAGGGGTTCATACCGGCCAGGTGTCCCCATGTCTTTTCATCATCGAGGACACCAGAGCCATCTAACATTCTAAGAGAGAAACCTTATCTTTAGCAATTAGTTATGCATTCATTTATTTATTTTGAGAGGCACAGAAAGAGCTCCTCTTTGCTGGTTCATTCCCCAAATGCCCCCAGTGGCTGGGGCTGGACTGAGACCCAAACCAGGAGCCAGGAACTCAGTCCAGGTCTTCCACTTGGGTGTCAGGAACTCAAGTATTTGAGCGATCCCTGCTGCCTCCCATGGATCCGCATTTGCAGGAAGCTGGGGTCGGGAGCCAGGACTGGGAATCCAACTAAGGTGCTCCAGTCTGGGATGCAGGCGCCTTAACCAGCAGGCTGAATATCCACTCCTTAGAGAGGAGTCTTCAACAGCAGTGAGGGATTGTCCTAGGTGTGTGTGGGTGGGGAAGAACCTATATTAACCAAAACCACCAAATGAGCTTCTCACCCCCCTAAAAGTAAATCCCAACACCCAAACACAAGCAGGAGATTAAAAAAAATGCAAAAGCCAGGCAGTTTGGATTTCTTCTTTTCCCAGCTCCTCATTTGAAAATGCTTGTTGCAGGCAGCAGGTGAGGGGTGCGTGTGCTTGCTGGCTAGTAGGGTGCCCTCCCGCGTGATCCATGCCCAGCCTTCGCAGCAGCCCCGGGAGTGGACAGCACTAGCAGCTGCCATTCCCGAAATCTCGCTTTTTGGGAGACTCCGAATGTGTGATCTGGGGCAAGTCTGGAAAGTGGCAGTTGGGGAAGGACAGACCAGGCATTCAGACCCTGCGCCGCGGCGTTGTGTGCACTGTTTATGATGACTTCTTGGCAGCGTTGACACTCGTTTTAAAATATGGATGAAGGGACTCTGATTTTTTTTTTTTTTTTAAAGAATCACATTGGTAAGGAAGTCCAATGTTGGCTTTGGTAAAGGTCATAGTTGGATGTTTGGCATGAGAGGGAATCACTGTGTCCGAATGTGTGTGTGTGAAGCCAGATACCCAGTGTATTTTTTCCAAGTTTCTTTTCTATCTTTATGCATGTGTCTAATCTAAAAGCCCTATTTCTGAGCTCTAAGAGGAAATATTACTATGTTCCTGTTACTTTAAATAGCCAGTAAATTCCAAATTGGTGCATGGGGCTCAGCTGTGGGATCGAAAACGATTTATAGAAACTTTGGGGATGTTTCCTTTTGTCTGAGTATTATAGAAATGGTTTCCTTGAGGTTGTCTGAGGGCTCTCTGTGAGTTACGGAGAAGTGGCTGTATATTTATACGCCACTGTGATTAAACACGGAGACACATACATGCCTGCCTCCGCCCTGCCCAGCCCCGCTGCTGTGGCTCTGCCCGGAGGTGTGAAAACACCTATCTGTTTATTCATGAGCCATGAGCCAGCCACACATTGGAACTTGGGCAAGTATGATGAGTGAAAGTGCAGTGTTTTAAAGCTAATTGAGTAGGAATAGATAACTGTTTGTAATTAACATGTTTAAAAGTCAGCCAGGTGGCTAGACATTTGAAGAGAATGTTTGGCTTTTTTCTTGCTTGCTCTGTTTGTGATTTAATAGGTACATCTTGACTTAGCATGCCCAGCTTCGGAAATAGAAGGTCCTCAATGAAGCAGTGTTAATTGTCTAATTACAGAACAGCGAACCCTTGCCTGCAACTTAGCCTGTTTCTTACCCGAGTGGTCAGTTTTTGTTTTTAAGATTTGTTTATCTACTTTGAAAGTCAGAGTTATAGGGAGAGAGGGAGAGACAGAGAGAGATCTCCCATCTGCTGGTTCACTCTGCAAATGGCCGCAGTGGCTAGCACTGTGCCAGGCCAAAGCCAGGAGCCAGGAGCTTCATCTAGGTCTCCCAGGTGGGTGGCTGGGGCCCAAACACTTGGGACATCTGCTGCTGCTTTTCCCAGGCCATTAGCAGGGAGCTGGGTCAGAAGTGGAGCAGCCGGGACTTGAACTGGTGCTCATATGGGATGTCAGTGCCATAGGCGGCAGCCTTATCAGCTATGCCACAGCATTGGCCTCATTTTTTTTTTTTAATAAAGATTTATTTCTTTCTTTTGAAAGGCAGAGTCACAGAGAGGGAGGGAGAGCCAAGTGGTCAGTGTTGAGCCATGGTTGTTCAGGGCACAGCTCCCTAGGGGGAGCGTCATGGGATGGATCGCTGGGCCTCACCCCTGGAGCTCCTGACTGAGTAGGTCTGGTAGGAGGCCTGAGCATCTGCATTTCGGACGACTTTCCTAGGTGTACTTGTCAGCTTTTTGTTACTATGATGAAATACCCGAGGAAACCGACTTTATAAAGAGAAAAGGTTTTGGAGGATCAGGCCCGTGATTAGGCATCTGGTGAGGACGGTGGAGCAGGTGCAGAGGCAGGATCATGTGGTGAACCAGGAAGCTCAGGCAGCAGCCGGGCCTAACTCAGCTTTTACAACAACCCTGTCCTGAGTGTTTCCTTCCAAGGGCAACAACGCCACCACTGACCCAAGCGCATCTGGCTGGGCCCACCTGCTCAGCACCACAGTTGGATCAAGTTTCCACACTCTCTTTTTTTTTTTTTTTTTTTTTTTGACAGAGTGGATAGAGAGAGACAGAGAGAAAGGTCTTCCTTTTTCCGTTGGTTCACCCCCCCACTGGCCACTGCAGCCGGCCCGGTGCGCTGTGGCCGACGCACCGCGCTGATCCGAAACCAGGAGCCAGGTGCTTCCTCCTGGTCTCCCATGCGGGTGCAGGGCCCAAGCACTTGGGCCATCCTCCACTGCCTTCCTGGGCCACAGCAGAGAGCTGGCCTGGAAGAGGAGCAACCGGGACAGAACCGGCGCCCCGACCGGAACTAGAACCCGGTGTGCCGGCGCCGCAGTCAGAGGATTAGCCTATTGAGCTGCAGTGCCAGCCCACATTCTTACTATAACTGACTTTAGGGTCTGCAAGTTTGCACGCATTTGAGGGACAAATAATGTTCAAACCAAAGCCGCAGGTACTGCAGATGGTGCTGGTCTGTGGTCCAGCTTTGAGTGGCCAGGTTCCACAGAACACACTCTCTGTCTTTTAAGAGGTTTTTGTCTTGTAAAGACAGATGTGAACATCAGTCATCGCTCAGCAGATGCAGCCAGGACCTGTTCTCCAGGGCTTTCTTTGGGGGCATCTTTTGTAGAGAGACTCCTGGGAGGGGGAGAGAGGTGGGTGTATAGATATGGGTACACTAGGCCGTAAAGGGTAGAAGCTCCCCATTTCTTATTCCTAGTTTTGGTTTAATACAGTCATGCACTGCATAAGGATTATTATTTTTTTTTTACAGGCAGAGTGGACAGTGAGAGAAACAGACAGAGAGAAAGGTCTTCCTTTGCCGTTGGTTCACCCTCCAATGGCCGCCGCGGCCAGTGTGCTGCGGCCGGCGCATCGCACTGATCCGAAGGCAGGAGCCAGGTGCTT